GGGGGGGGGGCTTGGTGTGAAAATTCCCCCAAAAATTCGTGCAAAGAAAAATGCCTGGAAAAAAATTCGTGCAGCCATTACGTCAGAGAAAAAAAATTTGTGCAAGCAAACAGCGAAGAACAAATAGTCTTAAAAAAAGTCGTGCAGAGGTTAAATGCATTAAAAAAAATTCCTAAAGAGAAACAAGACTGAAAAAAAAATATCGTGCCGCAACAATTTTATACCCTCCCGGGATTTCTAATGATCCGCCCCTTATCCAATTCTGATTGATTTTTCAAACAAAAATTCAGTTTCAATTTCCTTTGCTTACGAAAATGGTAGATTTATCATCCTCGATAAATACAATAAAATGATACACATTGATCCACTATTTTACAAACAAACATCTCTTAAATTTCACTTTGGGAAAAGAAAAGTTGTCCTGTTTTATATTATTTATATAATTATTATATATTAAAAAAAAATACTCGGGAAATATTTTTGATGCAAAACATGCAGCAACCATGTACAGAAACAGACAAAATATGTTTGAACCAAACTTTCAAATGTGAAATGTTGATAAAATATTGTCTTATCTTTTTACACTTTTATTTATATTGGTCAAAACCGAAAGGAAATTTTCAATTAGAAAAGAGCTAAATGTTTTGCGTAACAAAAAACAGGAAATACGTTTTGGCTTTTTGGGTATACTTTGTTAACTCAAAAGTAGACATTCAAAAACACTGGTTTTGCTCAAGTCCTCACAACTCACAAGGAACAATCAGTTCCATACAATCTTTAGAATCTCTCTCAACAAAAATTATTATAATGCATTTTCATCAATTTCTAGTATCAACTAATATTAAAGCAAACCAAACACAAACATCAAAAGACATATACAGTAGTAGCTGTTGTCGATTTAACATATGAAATTTCGCTGAAAGATCGAGTTTTAGTTAATTTTGGACAGCATTCTTGTCAGGTTAAAACAGACCCTTTTGAAGTATAAACTTACCTTTTAAGTTACATACTCGTTAAAAAGACCATGTTCGAGTGCCATGTAAACCTGTTTGCTTATATTATTATTATGACTATTATAACACACCATTACAAAGTGGAACTATTTGAAAATAATGTTGAACTGAAGCAAAAGAAATACATGTAACATAGAAAACTAACAAATTAATTAATTTTTAATTGCCAAACAAGTATTAATTAAACACAACCAGCTAATGAAAATTATAAATGTTCTCATCTCAGTATTCCAAACCAAAGACAAAGTACAAAATTAATTAATTGAATCTGATTCGAAATAAAATATGAAAGTCAACCTTAAAATATGAAAGTCAAGCTTAAAAAATTTTAAACTTAAAAAACTTAAATAAATTAGGGTTGTAGGTCAGATTATTTAAATGAAAATAGAATTTTTAAATTGGTACAAAAAGAGCATCTCGGTCATTCCCTGTCTTAATTAACTGTGTGTGATGAAACACCCACAAATTTTGATGAATACTAAAAATATGGTTAATTCCGTGCTTGAATTTTGATTCAAATCTTATCAAATTATGCATTGATTAACACATGGTACAAAGAACTGTCAATCTTATCTTCCGCCTCAATATTCCAATTATTGGATTGCTTGATGAAACAATTAATATATACTTTTCAATGCTGATTGTTTTTTCTTCCCTATAATACAAAACATTTTACAAAGAAAATCATCCTGTAGTCTGCAGTGGTTGTGGTTTTCCTTGCCATGCATGACAATCAATATTCTTTTATTTTCTCCATCTCACATTACCCCCCAATTTAAGTATAGTTTGCTGAGCTTCAGTTCATCCATATTCAAATAAGTTCCACTTTGTCATGAAGTAAAGGCAGTATCCTAGCTTATTTTGACCTTAACTGTTTGTTTTAAAGTTGGGCAAGTTTTTAAAAATCACAAAGTTTGTTTTGAAATTCAAATTTTGTCGAAAACCACAATGTGGTTGGCACAAGAATAAACAACTGAAGAACACAACCCTCCTATAAGTCAGCACTGTATAGAACTGCCTAACTGTTCCTCAACAAATCCATTTTATTTGTGTCCAGGAATAATCAAACTCATGTATTAAGAGTGTGCTGGGATAAATAAGACAGGACTATTAAACAATGAGGCAGTTCTAACAGTGCTAATTTTAAAAGTATTGTATACTTCAATTGATCACTAATTGCTTTTGTAAGATTCAATATCTGAAGACTCGAATAACATCCAGAGTCAACATTGAAACAAACATTGTGATTTTCAGATAAACTTTCCAAACTTTCAACAAACACTGAAAGTCCACTTAAACAAGAGAAGATTGAGATGGAACATAAGTTTAAAAAAACCACCTCAATCGTCTCAATGTTTAACTGATGTAACAAAGCCAAACACTGACAAACTTTTCAATTTTTTATATTCGACAAAAACTTTGGAAATATGTAGAAACAACTATGTTCTCAGATAGAACATAGTTGATAATTAGATAAATACGAATTTATATATTCTGCACTTTATGATTTAGCTATTTATGCCAAACAGAAAAAAATGCATGTCCAAACCAAATATCACTGTTAAATTTAAAAAAATGTTTCAAAACACAGTTTGTCATTTTTTGGTTTGCTCATAAAATGCTTAGAAAATTATAAACTTTCTGTGATCAGTGGCAACACAAAACTTAAATTAATCAAGTAATTGAGGGACCACAAAACTGAATTTTTCCAAATTAATACAAGTCAAAATAGAGGTGTAATAATAGAATAAAAAGAGTGCAATTATTGTGCATAAGTAGCATGCTCAATTTTGTGTCATAAGTAGCATGCTCATGCTATTTTTGAAATATTCTGCTGGGATTTTTGAAACTATTGATCACAGGCAATCATATAATGTTCAAAACATTTCATGTAAGATAAGACAGAAAAATATTAAGACCTTTTATATACTTTCCAATGACAGCTAGTGTTCATTTTTGTGGTCAAAAGCACTTCAACCAACAACTTCAGACATTCTTTGAAATTGCAACACACATCTAGAAAATGTAAAAAACTCACTATTGATAACATGAAACAAATTAATAATTACAAACACAATTATCCAAGAAATACAAGGAGAAGGTTAGAAATAATTAGAAGAAAAATAATTTACCTCTTATTCAGGATCGTGGAATGTGTCCATTTTTCATAATCATCAAGAGCTCTTGCAACATTCTTGGAACTTGTATTATACATCTACAAAATTATGAGAACTTCCTGAGGGTGTGAATAGCTTGGTTAGCGAGATGAAAACCTCAATATGAACATCAGTGTCTGAAACAAAACAATATCCTGTGGTTCCGGTTTTCCAGCAAACCTTATTTTCTCGGCTCTGTTTGATCACAGCAATTGCTGACCAATGGCAAGCCAAAAGATATTTGAAGAAAATTTGTTTTGTTTGGACCTACCTATCCTACTTTTTTTAGGATATGAAACCTGAACCGAATATTTTTGTAGTGTTCTTTGAACATCAGAAAAATGCCGACCAATTGGAAATGTTAAAATTTGATTGGAATTTTTTTCAACTTCATTTCGACTCCAGGCATCTGCTGTACCGGTAAATCAAGTTAATTAATATGCTTTTAAATTAAACAGATACTGTCCTTTTTATTTTCTAACATTCTCTTAATCCTTGTCAGCGTATGTCGAAAAAAGGCTTTACACTGCTACTGATCCATATTTTGAGCCTGCAGTAGATGTGCTTCAAAAGAACAATCTTCTTTTCAAACCACACTCAGCCTAAGAACGTATATTAATCTTACCAGCCTGCTTACCGAGAAGCCTCACCTAACCTATGACCGCATCTCCTAACTTTTCACTATCAAAGCACCTCCTAACTTTTCACTACCAGCCTGCAGTGATGTTAAGAAATACAATTCTGCATTTTGCCTTACTGTAGCAATTTTGTTTTGCAAGCAAGAATCAAATATGTTGTATTAATGTTGCTAAAGCAACGCTTTTTCTGAGTATAAATGAACAAAAACACCATATTGTTAAAATATTTTGTCGCAAAATTGAAATGTGCAAGCTGATGAAATAGAAATATTTGACGTCCCACCAAGCACCTCGTCTCTGTATACGGCATTTTTATAATACATAAAAATTTTCGGCAAGAACTCAGAGATAACAACTATTTTTGAACAACTTATAATATACAATTCTGGATCTTAGTAGTCTTTTTACTCACTTGATGGACAATAATTATGAGTTAAAACACGGTTTAATAACTTTAATTCCATATTAATTAAAAGCGAACGTTCCATCAACCACGTGCAAAGCAAAAGCACAAATTTTATGCCGACATATCGCATTAAATTCGAGCTGGATGTCCTAAATTTTCATCTATATTAGCAATCTAAGTACTCTACTACAAGGATTGGTATTAAATAAAGCATATTACCTTCCAATAAAGGTATTAAAGTTTGATAAATGTCCTCCATTTTTTCTTCCTTGCTTCTCCACCTTTCTTCGCCACGCGGTAAAAAAAATTAAAATTCGGAAATGCCCGGCACTCCGTCGTGACTCGTCACCGTACGATGCAAGTCGACAAATTCCGAGCTATTTTAAAATGACAGGGGGTCCGGGCCATCTTTAAAATAGGGAACGGGACAACCTCTACCTCTTCCCAGGGTCTTCTTTTAAAGAAGACTCTTCTTCGTGATGGGAACGGGAATGCCAGGAATAGGCGAATGCGGGCATGGTACAACTTCAATCACTCAAACACGCATTTTACGTATGCCATGAACCAATCTCGGTCCTTAAAACTGAACCAACCTCGGTTTCTTAGAACGGCGCGAGGCGAAGGAAAAACCCATAGAAAAACCGGTTATCGTTCCATGTTTCGCGCACCAATATAAGTTGAAGGTATCCAGTTAACTTTTCAGTACACTATAATATCCATTACATAACGTTTACTATATTGTCTATATTGGTGCGCGAAACATGGAACGATTACCATGTTGGTGATCTATTAATTCAAAAGAATTTAAATAGACTCTTACCGACAATTTGGTTATCTTTTCATGTCACGCAATCACGAACCTAATCGAATCCCTATTCCTCCTCCTAGCCATTCATATTTTGTGACTGCGTGAATTTTGTCTGGCAGCCATGGCTTTTGTCGAGTTGGTCACTGGGGAATGAATGCAAAGGCTGCAATGTATAACATAATTAAACCAAACCAAACAAAGTATAAAAATAAGTTTTCTTTATCAGGCTATGCACAGTGGAAGTAGTGAAAACCTGAATTAAGAGTAAAAACTAAGGCCTGTTTCAAATCATAGCCTATCGAAGGGAAGATGGCTGTGAAACTCATTAGAATAACAATATAACTCATTATCTATGTTGGTCAACGTTTATTCGTAAATCTGGTCGTTCACCGTCACGTGTGTATTGTGTTTTTGCCCAACTAACCAATAGCAATGTTTTAGGAAAGTCATCTATCCGTGACTCGAACAACAGGGAAACTGGAAATTGCTATTGGTGGATTTGGTAAAAATATAATACACACGTGACGGTGAAACTACCAGATTTATGAATAAACGCTGAACAACATAGATAATGAATTATATTGTTATTCTAATGAGTTTCCAAACCATCTATTCTATTAACTATGTTCAAACGTAGCACTTCTCATGTGAACGCATTAAAAACAATAGATAATCAGCTGAAATACATCATTATCTATTTTTTCTAATGCGTTCCGGCAAATGGGAAGCGCGACGTTTGAAACAGGCCTATTATTACACCATTTCCGAATTACGCTCTACAGGATGTCTAAATAAAATCCCTCTATAGAAATTATCCTATTGTTATAATTTGAATGTCTGAGCACTATGCCACAGAGTAGATAAGACATACAGAGACGTAACTGACCGTTGTAAACACTGCTGAAGATTACGTTATCATGTACCCACTTTTTTTCAGGCGACCGGACGAAAAATGATCAACTGCGCGTGCTCAGCAAGTTTAAAGTGAGTCGTCATCCAATCAGATGCATGCATCTAGTAACTTTCCGAGCATGCGCACAAAAAAGTGGGTACACTTGGGTACACTAGTTACGTCTCTGTATGTCTCTACTCTGTGACTATGCTGAACACAAGAGTGCGTAAACACAATTGAATTGAATTTTTAATCACCAGTCGCATAAAATCCTGTGCTTAACAACAATAGGATAAATTTCTATAGAGGGTACTTTTTTGGGGACACACTGTAGAATAACACCAGGTAAAGCCAAACCTTTGCAAATCATACTATATTACAAATGCTATAGACCATTTCTCAATCGTTAAAGCCGAACAAAGGTTCAGTGCTTATCAGTACTAGCACGGGTGCCAAAATTTAAACTCTTCACATGAAACAACCGCAATTTTTCTTCTCAAGTTAAAATATTTAGATTATCTAAACGGGTTTTACTTGACAAGCGACCACTGACAATTAGAGCATATATAATCTCTATAATTGTGCTAAACAACGAAACTAAAAATATATAGTTAGTTAGAAGAAAGCACTGTTCCACTTTCTATCTTTTTTCATCCAAATTATAGAAAGTGAAACAGTGTTTTCTTGTAAATAACTATACATCAACAATGTGGCTAAAAATGGATGAAAAGTTAAAGAGTTAGCCATTGGTTTTCGCCCCTTTTTGAAAATCAAAAAAGTGGTTAAAAATGGATGAAATATTATATTATGGCCGTTTTCCACTAGGCAGAATTTTCCGCGTGGAACGGAATTTCTCTTTGTCTTTTCTCATTAGTTCCACACAAGAAATCACAAGACAAAGAAAAATTTCGCTCTCAGCGGAAAATTCCGCCTAGTCCAAAAACGGCGTTTAGTTTTTGCCCCTTTTTGAAAATCAAAAAAGTGGCTAAAATGGATGAAAAATTAATAATAATATAAACAAATTGGTGAAAAACTAAGTTTGTGGAAAACAACTTTTATTTACATAGAACTCTCAAGATTTCAAATCAAAAATTGTATTACAGAAGAACTGAGAGTTAGAAATTAGGAAATTCAATGTCTGACTATTATTGCATGATACAATGTCGCATCAACACACTACATATTATATAGTCCTTTCAACTCATAAACATTTCATACACTATTTACATATTAATAATCTTTTTAACAACAAATAAAATATTTGATCGCTTGGCTTACACACAACAAGCAGTTCCAATATCTCCAACATTTTTCTCGTCAACATTCATAAGCACATCAAATAATTGCAGCAGGCAAGCCAAGAGATCACCGCCAAACCTGATATCATTATTGCACCATATTATTAACAATTCACGAAGTTGGTTCAGTCTTTATTCTCTCCCCATTCTGAAATGAAAATATATTCAAAATGTTTAACAATTATTAACCGAAGGTGAGGTGATTATCGGGGAATATTCACAGAGATGAAGTTGAGGTGAATATTCCCCGATAATCACCGAGCCTGAGCCCTGAAGCGAATAATTGTTATTGTTTTAGTATTTTTACAAAAATATTAAAGAACTTACCGGTGACTTATTCTGATTATTATTTCTCCACGTGCCACGGTTACCTCTATAACCACGGTAACCACCACGTCCTCCACGGTTGTTTGTTCTGTTTTGTTGGTTACGATCACCATCATCACGGTTACCACCATCACGGTTACCACCATCACGATAATTGTTGCCACGGTAACCACCTCTTCCTCTCCCGCGGCCTCTACCCCGGCCCCTACCTCTCCACCCTCGACCACGCCCATAACCACGAGTGTATGAACCACTTACACCAAATGTTTCCACATTTAGTTTGCGCTCTTCTTGCCATGAACCAGACCTGAACAGAGTAAAATTAAAAGTGTAGAGCATATTAAAATATAATTTATATTCCATTCTTGCGATATCACATGTACTATTTACACAATATCTCATATGGTACTTTATCATTTTTAGACAATAAGAATCAGTAGAATTATCCAATTTTATAAAACAGATTGTTGAGAAAATACACAATTTAAAAATAATATGCATTGCACCATACATGTTGCGTGAAGCGTGAAATGAATGTGTGAAGTGTGCCATTCATTAACGATTTTAACAATCTATGGCTGCAGTAACACGTTACATTGGAAATCGTTGTTAAATTAAAAAACTCGACATGAATGATACTTTTACTTGGTCGACTGATATTATGACATCATTATCGGCATCAGTACTGGCATGTTGTGGCATGATAATTGGTAATTTCTGATTGTTGCACAATTGGTTAATCACTGCATTACTTTGTTATTTTACTATGTTTAACCCTAGATGATTTACTCATCAAGGGGAGAGTCTTGTGAATGAATGGTTAAATTAAATGCACAATACATGTACTTTTGCACAATCACTTTCTACATCCAATGGCTTACCTTCTTCCTTGCTCTGATGGCAATGGATCACTTGAAATAAAATCAAAGAATGATTTTTCTTTGTCATAATAAACACCATCATTCACTGGACTCTCAACTTCAACCTCATTTTCAACTATTACCTAGATGCAAAACAAAAATAAATGAGAAGTATTTCTTCCAATTTTCATCAAAATTCTTAAGGGAATTTGCAAAACAACTTAGGATTGTTAACAGCCAATATAAAAAAGCTGATTTCTGATACTTATTATTCAAGAGACTGAATGTTCAGTGTCTAAACATTATCTTACATTATCGATATCTTGCAAAAACTTCCAAGATGGCGGACGATCAAGAAAGCTGAACATTGCAAACAGTATTTATTGATCTTAAATAGAGATGATAGCTTCCCACCATCGGCCGATGAATCGATAAACCTGATGATTGGTTTTCCTCACGATTAGTGTTTTTACTCAACTCAACTTGCTAGTTTCGAATGAACAGAAACCATGATAAACAAGGACGAGACAGGGACTGTCGACAGACAGTGAAAGAAGCTGTTAAAAAATTGCCGCTAATCAGCTCAGCAATGTTTTGACGATCATCGGTTCATCTAAAATATTATGTTTCCACATAGGAGACCTACCTCTTCATCTTGGGCAGAGATTTTCATTTTCTCTATTTCAGACTTTAGTTCTGATTCAATCTTGTCTTTGTCAAATCTTGCATTGGAGCTCTCAAAGTCAAATTCGCCATTAAATTTAATTGGCTTCCCTTTTTTTGTACTTCCAGGCTGTTGTTGGGGACCTAGAAAATTGCAAAACAAACTCAACCTGGTCAGTACAAAATACCTGGTCAATACAAATACATTGAGATGTATTTCTATATTTTGTTTTAAATGTAAATACCTCATAGAAATGTTATCAATCTTCTCTTTTTGCACTTGCATTTGTTAACGAGGCCAGAGTAATAAACTCACCTCTTGTCTTATTTTCATGTGGTTTCTGATTTCTTGGAGCCTCTTCATTTTCTTCCTTTCTATCAGTTGGCTTACTGGGTCCATTCTGGTTGGTTTCCATCGAGTTCCTCCGGGATCCGGATCTTCTTCTAGGTTTTCCTGTTTGGGTTGATTTTTGACTTGGTGGCTGAGGTGTTTGCGTTTCAGACTCAAGAGTTTTAGTTTGAGACACTGAACCAATTGGGGCAACATTCACAGGAGGGCTTGGCGTACGGCTTTGGATAAGTGGTACGCCCATTGGTGACCCTGCACGGCCTGGATTGATGCCAGGTTGAGGAACGGGAGAGTATGTTGCAGGTTGACTTCCATATCCATACGGGTGAGCAAAGTTACCATACCCAGGTGCATAAGGTGTTGTGTTTGGAAAGTGAGAGAAGCTTGACCCTACCGCACCTTGCTAAAATGATAACAATCGGAACATGAATCAATGATTTGCACATTGACAGCAGCCATTTTTTTAGTATTTTCACCCAGATTGGAATGTAATGTGTGTACGCCGGACTTGTCCGGTGTTCAAACACAAACTTTGGAATACATAATGGCGTACATTTGTTTACATAGACTAGTAATTGTTCAAGTTCCACAAATATGGACCAAATAGGTTTGTTCTAAAAAGGCGTATTTGGAACTTTTGTGCATTTATATTTCCAAAATTGGCGTACAGTTACACGTGCATGAATCGTTGTCCGGTATGCAAAAATTAAACTTTCCAGACTGGATTTTCACATTACAAAATATCAGACTGTCATCAGATTTGACAATATTTGTGGTACTGTATCTGACCGTTGTAAAAAATACTGGGTAAAATTGACATATTCTAGTTAGCACTTATAAGACATTTACATTACGGTGTACTAATAATGAGTAGATTGTAACCAATCTGTAATAATGAGTAGATTGTAACCAATCTCTTGGGTATTTATATAAAACAATAGAACAGGGCCCTTTTGATATTCCCCCAACATGGCTGCAGTGACGTAACATGCAATCAACCTGTAGATATTATCATTTATAAATATGCAATTATCTTGGCACAAGTCTGGCATATTGTTTGCATGGAAACTATTAAAGAACCCTGCATAATTTTGTACAGAATTAATATGCAATCAACGTCATTTTAAACATTCATTTCATTGACTGTATTTAAAACGTTCCTGCAGCTCATTTCAAAAATATAACAAACCTGAAGAATTGACGGATCTTGATTGACGGTATTTATCGGTTTAGGTGCTTTAGACACATGTAAATCTTTAATATCGCTGCCTCGGAAAACTATGTATTCATAAACTTCGCTTCGGGGTCCTACTTGCTTCTCAGCCGCTCTATCCTCCGTGCCGTATGAACGTACTACAAAAAATATAAATAAATATCATAAGAGGTCTTATTTATTAAGTTGGTTAACATTAACAGGCTACAAAAAGCGATAAAACTCAATAAAAACACTCACCATTGGCAAGCGTCACCGTTGAATCTTTCGTGTCTATAGACCACAAAATCCCTTCGTATCTTATCTCTGCTTTCGAAACAAGACTAATGGTACTTCCTATATAGGGTGTACCACCACTCATTTTGTAAAAGAGCGCCCAAAACTAAAAGATGGCTTTAAAATTCGATGGATTACTTTCAAAATTTTTTACTCTTCTTGTTTGCAGTTTAGAACTTTCAAGATGGCCGCGACTTGGTAACCGCGCTGCATCTCATGCGGTGAACACGTGAGGCGCTCAGCCAATCAACGATCAACCCGCCAAAATTAAACTGTGGCGGCAAATCTAATCATTTTGCGCAATCTAATCATGTTTGGCGCGATTTTAATGATTGACAGAAAAGGCGGTGGTTCGTATTTCGGGGTTATCTTTTCATCATTTCATGTCACGCAATCACGAACCTGGGCCCTTATAAATCGGCCATGTTGGATTTGTCAATAGCGAAAGGTCATGGGGCGAATTTAATTAATTAATTTGCCCTTATAATAAGGAAGAGGTTATTTCGCTGGCCTCCGAGTGACAAAACGCAACAAAGCAACGGTTTTGCTAACACTAACCCTATTCCAAACACCAACTCTAACCTAACCCTACTCCAGGTTTGTTTCTAAACCAATCTTGAAGAAAAACGTTTTGACGAAATATCATTCTGAGGTCAGCGAAATAAATTCTTCCTGAAAATAAATCGGCCATTTTGAATAGTTAATGTGGCGTCACTTGTTTAACTGAGAAAGGATAGGAGCACGTATTCTACACACTTAAAAATCTCACAACTTGTCAACAAGATGTGCTCGCAACAGGCTTGCAGCAAGCTTGTCAACGTCTTGTTGACAAGTTGTTGAATAGCAAGACGATAACAAGTTGTTGAAACAACTTGTAACAAGTCTGTTGAGCTCAACAACCTTGTAGCAAGTTGTCAACAAGCTGGGAACAAACAGTGCCAACACATCCTGTTGACAAGTTGTTGGAACAGCATTGCTACAAGTCTGCTGCAGTTTTGGTACAACTTGTGCGTTTTTACGTGTGTAGGTCTAATATTTCCATGGTAATGGCCCACAAATTTTCGTATTAACTATTAATTAATATGTTTGATACTTTTTTAAGTCATCGTGCTGACAGACACCATAGATTGTAACCATAGATATAGGATTGTAACCCCCATTTGAATAGATGGCGGCCAATAAAAAACAACAATAACTTGTGTATATAAGATATATATGACTGAGACAAACGCAGATAAAACATGGCCGCCAGGCGAAGGTCTGAAAATATATTTGTATTCCACAAATACGTAAATTCTAAATTACTGTTACATTCAGCACAAATTTAAATATTAAAGACCACTGACACGGTCACCAACAAATATGCTCCCGGGCGCGCCCAAGGCGCTGTTCAGCCAGATAAAATAAGCGCTATGCGCCATTTGTTGTTGTAATTGATTTTTTTTAAAAATCTTGTAAAAATACTGACGTATAAATTAAGTGAATGCATATTCACAACAACGCCCAACATTTTTGAAGTGTAAATTTCTTTCAAAGACTTGGTCAAAACACAAGTTTGCTTCAACGTCTTCCCGTCAAACTAGTCCAACTATCGGGTGCGAATGAGATTATAAGGTTGCTCAAAAGGGAAAACATTATTTCAGAAAATTTGCTTCCTGGGAAACAAAATGTTTCTCAACAAATTAAGAAACACAAGAGTCATCAGGATGGATGGTCACCAGCAGGAGACTGAACGGACTATATGGCGCATGAAGTTACATGTTTCTAAGAATCTCGATATTCCAATTTGTGAAATCTGGTATCTATCTACTCAATTAACGCAACGACTGCCAATTAGCAACTTGGCATTACTACATTCTAACTAAAATAGCCTAAGTCTATGTTAGTTTTGAGTAACTTGGTGGCGCATACTTTCGCCTTAAAAATTTCAAGATATACAGAGGAAGACAGCTGACCAAAGTGATTACAGTTACTTTCCATAGAAAGTTCAGTGATATTAAGAATCGTTCGTCTAGAAAAAGAAAAAGGTTGTATCATTTAAAATGTAATATAATATTAATTGGACATTTGGACTTCATATTAATTGAATATTAATTGGACATGGCCAATAACTTATTCAACCAAAATAAATGATTGCTCAGTGATTCGTGCATGAGCCGTGGGACATTGCAGTCCAAGTTTGATTGCCTGAATTTTCGCCTAAAGCCCTGCTGGACGGAACCAGTGTGCTCCATATTTATTAGGAGTGAGAATTCAAGCGCAAAAGGTGAAGTTAAACATGGAGCTATTCGACGTCAGTTTCAGCCCCTTTCTTTAGTTTTTGTCGGTGCGGTCTGCAACGAGTGTGCACAAATTTCGTATTTTGACTTCGATTTAAATACGGTTTTATGAACTGATAAATTGATCAGCGATGCAGTCTGCTGAAAAAAAAACTGTGTACAACCTTTATAGCTATTGGACGTCAATAGACAATTCTCATTATAGACTAATTTTAAAATTAGGCAAGGAGATGCAAATTGCGCAATACAAAAGTATACAAAATTTGCGAATTTTGCAAGGCTATATTTTCCGCATTTTACAACATTTCGCAACCAAACTTTGCAATTTTACTCATTTTAGTATGCTCTTTCTAGCTGTGGTGATAATTTGCATCTCCTTGCCTAATTTTAAAATTAGTCTATAATGGGAATTGTCTATTCCGCCATTTTGGTTTCACTTTTCTACAGACCGAGTGACTAAAGTTCTTTCTCCATATATATAGAGCTCACTGTATGGAACCATATCAGGCAGTCCAAGATCATTTGATACACTTACCAAAATAGTCTTTAAACACAGCCAGAGTAGCAATATACAGCGCTAGACTGAATACCTGGGCAGCAACCATCAACCAATGCCAAGTTCGTATGGTAAATGCAACCATTAAAAGTTCAGTAAGAATCAACGAGGTGAATGTTATTGTGACAACATGAATGAATTCCTCATCGAATAATAAAATGCCGCCAAACATAATTATCCCTCCTTGGTATATACTGATTAGAATCCATATGAAGAAAGTCTTGTAGGACAGTGAACGACCCTAGGTGAAAAAGGCAGGTTAATATGCGGATTTCCAAAGGGGTAGGATGACAATTGGGACACCAGTCCTGTATCCAACCCCTGCCAGTTAGAGGCAAATTTAATAAATTCAAAATTCAAATCAACAATTCAAGAGCCATCCAGTCATTCATTGTTTGGACTATTTGCCTGGTTCAGAGTTGTGAAAAAGCTGCGGGTACGCGGGTTACCACCCGCGAGGAAGGTTCACCATATGTGAGGTCAGTGAGGAAGGTTTAATGTGGAACCCTCTTCTCAATACTGACACCATAAAACAGATAAATTATACTTGACTTGCGGGTTGAGATTGGCAGGATGCTGATGTTGTGCTAGTACCGATACCACCTGTTTCAGACGACACTGAAATAATATATATTATATACACATATACTTACATACATGTTGATACCATATATTACCTTGGACAAATCTTTATATAACTCTGGAAATCGTAGCGCGATTTCAGCCGGGACATCTTCATCAAGGACCAATGAGAAGACAGGAAACATAGTGTATATAGTGGAATACCTAAAGAAGATTGTAAGAAAATTCTATGCCACGAAAGTTGCTAGTCAGTGTCTGCAATGAGCCAATCAGTGTCTGCGATAAGTACGTCAAAGTTGGCACACTAAGCGCATTCATCAGACAAGATCGATAAGTATACTGGAATACCCTATATATGTCCTCTTAAGTCTTTGCTAAGTAAAAAAATCCTTACCCAACCATCAGATAACCTTGATAAAGAGCAACTGACGCAAAATAAAACACACTGGAAAACACAGCCTTGAAATAAAACAAATTTTGTTTAAAATTTTTATGATAGTCAAATGACAATCGCCAGAAAAATACAACAATGTCTCAAGAGTGTCAACAACTCCAAAGATTCCACTCATAAACAAACTCATAAACAATATTTACCTGCATAATGGATATGATAAGACCTCTGTGAATAACAAATTGACTAAGAGCTGCCGATCGCTTGTAGCTGGAATTGAAACAAAAGTACACATTGGAATTTTCGAGGCAGAGCTTTTGAAGAGGATTTACTTTTGATTTTTCTCACAGTCTTTTTTTTTGGACTTCAACATCATTTTGGACATTTTGGACTTCAACATCATTTTAACAAACCTATTTCTTCCATGCCACACCAGCAATCTTCCAAGATATTTGAACTGCGTGATTGAGAAATCAGCGGCTAAAGATGCCTGGCGTCCTTCCTGGAGGTTATTGGAAAAAAAAGAAGAAAAAAAGGATTTAAAAAAATTTTGTGGCATAATGGTCAGTGAAGATACTTTTCACCTCCAACTGGGGTTCAATTCCTGCAATTTCCTGATCATATTTTTGCTTTGTAAGCGAGATGAGTGTTTCCAGTTTCAATTTACTAAATATCGCAGTTTTTGTCCGGTTAATCCTGTTTCCTCCTGCATGCAGTAAAACTGGAGTACTGGACCTATAACGAATTCCTTACAGGACCTCTGGGAAGAACAGTTTAGATCTGATAAGACTATACAGTATAAATACAATAGGCACTATTTGCAGTTAACTAAAAATATTTGAGAACAATAAGTAACTGTGGAGCTGAGAGATTTGTAAACAAAGGAATAAGATACAGCACAGCATTTTCCCTACCCTTCAGATATTGTTATGCAAAGTGTTTTACTGTTTTTAGGCCAGCTGGCCTATTAGATAAGTATGGGCCCAGTTAATGAGTTAATACAAAATAGATCATAACGCATTACGTCATACCTTTCCTTCAATTCCTACTCCAACATTGGCTGCTTGAATCATGCTGACGTCATTGCCTCCATCACCTAAGATACAAAGTTCGTATTTTACAGTGAGCTCTACACATCTGGAGTGTGATCTTCAGGAATTCGAGTGGAAAATACGGGAGCCAATGTTTCATTAGCTTTTCATTTTCAGAAGCTTTGTTCGGTCAGAAGCTCGGATTTCCATCAGTTCATAAAAATAACATTATGAATTTTTCTGTGTTGGTGTTGTGTACTCAGGTGAATAATATGTTTGCGATGTTACTCTGAGTGCATATCCACACCGGGCGAGCTTGAAAAATATGCCCGGCCACGGTGGGATTCGAACCTACGACCTTTGGAATACTAG